GATTATGTAAAAAAAAAGAAAAGAGTGCAGAATAAGTAAAGTATAGAATTATTTATTCCTTGTTATCTTTGTTAAAAAGTTGTATTCAATCATAAAACCAAAGTTGAGTCTTGACCTTCGAAATTCGAGTAGAAGTGTTGACTTTTAGCTTCCTTGATCCCTTATAAGATAAACTGCCATTAACCTTTCTTGATTCAAAATATTGTCTTCGCCATACTATTGATTTTCTCAGAATAAGAGAGAGAGAGAGAGAGAGAGAATCGATTAGTGATCCAAAACCCTTTTTATAGCCAAACAATACCTAATCAAACCGTTGATTAATGCCATTGTTACCTTTAATTATACTACGTTAATCCCGTGACTCACGTGACGATCATTAAGACTCTTAATGATCGAATAGAGACCTGAAGCCCCAGTATACTTGAAATAAAAAAGAGAAATTTCTTTTCAGTTCCTCTTAGAACTTCGAAACAATTAATAGAAGCACAGGACCAGGTTATACTTATTTGAACCACCAGTATTTCTGCAGTAAGACTCAAAAGTCTCTCCACGGCTCTTTCCACCTACTAATGATAGTAGTTAAGTTAGTTTTATTATACAAAAGATTTGTAGTTTATATAAACTGAAGATATTGCATAAATAAAATTATTATTACTGGTTAAAAAATATATATTCAAGATCACATTTATTATTAGCAGTTAAGTGATTTATTATGTAACTTTGTAAAATTTGTATTTTTAAATACTAGTTTATTAAAAAGCAACACATTTATTAACATTTAAACTTTATTTATGCAAAATCTTTCATATAATAGAAAGTAAAAAAAGTAAAATAAAAAATTTAAATTTTTAAAAAGCAAGATTGTAGGCAATCCCATGAAGATACTCAATGATAGATCTATTACCACAATCATTAAACACTGTTTGTATATGTTGCTCATGCTCAATGGTATGCCTTCTTTGGGGCGGCCTCAGAGCACCTCGCAAAATTGCTTCGATGTCAAGCTCAACTCTATTCTGTTCTTTCTGGATTTCTTTTAAAATTTTAAAAATCCCCATATGTGCACAACCTACTAACACATCCCACCTCCTGTGCCAACCCTCCACAGAGTTCTGCGTTCTTGGATATGCAATTTTAATGTTATTAAACACAGACCAAAAAGTTGAAGAGAACAATGGATCCAACCTACTGATATTTCCACTTCTATGCATGTGCCTGACTCTACTGTAAATGAAAGTTTCTTCAAACCAACGAATAATATGCCTAGCTTTGGCTGGAATATGAGTTTTCAATTCTTCATATGCAGCTGGTATTTCAGAAGGGGGTAAAAAGGCGAGAGCAGAAAAACTTCTTATTAGTAAGCTAAAATCTTTCTCCATACTATATCTTGAGGCAAGTCCATAGGCCTGAACCTTACGATAAATACACTGTGAAAAATGAAAGTGGCAACCTTTACTCTGGACAAAATCAAATTCCAATTGGACAGAATTTATTGCGGCTGCCTAAAAATCGGTCAAAACTATGTGCGAGTCCAAAACTATATTATGTTCCTCACCAAAATCTATCAGCTCTTCAAACAATCATCTGTACAATTCCTTTGACTTGCTGGTCATCAAACAGTAAACCAAAGGTAATACTGTACTCTTGAATTTTTATTCCCACCTACACATCCTAAAATATAATATATTAATATATATAAATAAATAAAGTTAATAGTATAATTAAATATATATATATAGTAAGTAAATAAATAAATAAGTAAATAAGTAAATAAATAAATAAGTAAATAAATAAGTAAGTAAGTAAATACTTCACAAAAACTTATGTTTTTTGCTAAATATGTTTACAATTATTATATATTACAATATTGATATTATTATTATATGATTTAAAATAGTATATAATAAATATACTTTGAATACATATTAATCATATAATAATTATATTTTTGTTCTTTCTGTTAACTCTCTTGTAACTTCATCTCTAATAATATATTTGTTATATATATATAATATAATTTTAGGGAACAGGTACTTCCATGCCTGATTTTGATATTTCCACACCTTGATCACGAGCATAAAGTGTATTATAGTTGCAGCAAAAATGAAGTGGCATATTACAATTTTTAAGCCAGAATATTTGGATCTCACACTGCAATATTTACACGTAATTTCATAACAACAATTTATAATTTAATATGGTGTGGAAATACCTGTTCCATAATTTTATATATAAAATAATCTGTTGTTAATCTATTAATAATAATAATAATAACAGAATAAAATAAAAAATTTCAATATTTTAATAATATAATCGTCCTATAATAAATATATTAAATTATTTATAATATGTTTATAATATTTTATAATATTAATAAGTTTCTTACAAGAGAGTTAACAGAGCTTACTAAGACTTTTATTATATGTCAGATATATGCTGTTTATATTTTTAAAAAATCAAGGTTTCTTTAAAGTAAATAATAAATAAAGATTAAAAGATTAAAAAGATACTATAAATGGTATATAGCTGCCTAAACATATTAGGTACTGTCCAAAAGGTTCCATCCATGATCCAAAATATTAAACGATTTAAGTGACGAATATTATCTATGGTTGTAAAAATTAAAAACCCATTTCTCTCTACTATGGAATTATGGATTAAAAAGTCCAACCCACTTAAAGTTCTTTTCATGTGATCAGGGATAATTAAAGCTTCCAAAGAAAACAGCTCTATAGGAAGATCAAGATGTCAAATTTGTTGGATCGTTTGACAGATTGCATTAGGAGATGGAAGGTACTGGTACACATACTAAGAACTGTCAGTAATCACTGTCTGCAAGACTTGGGCTAGCTTTTCCCTGGTTAGTTGCACTTGATCCTTTATCCTAGCAATCATCTTAACAACTTCCACTCTGCTTGCTTGTGTCGAATGGTTATACTCTTTAGCACTTCTAAGATAATGTTGACCATTTACCAGTCTGGTCACCACATAACTATTGCAGCTCAACTCATCTCGCCTCTCGCAATACCAATAAAATGCATTATTACGACTTTTATCCTTCACCATAAAAAAACCATCAACATTAATTTTATCATTTTCATGAACAGATAGAACGATTTCGCAAATAAAGTTATTCATAGTGTTATGATAAGAAAAAAAATTTTTAGGAGTTGTTTTTAGAAAAATATATTTTACCGATAAAAAATTGGTAATTATGAATTTAAATTCTTCGCATTTATAATCCTTTATATAAATAATCACCAGCGAATCATATAAAAACAGATTTAAATCCTTGAAAGAAATTTAAAGATTTTATTTTAATCTTTCTTTATTAGGAATAATGCATGATAAAAAAAAAAAGATTTCGTTCACGACTCTTCATTGTAATAATGAGAACCCATTCAATTTTATTACAAATCATCTT